TATCCTGCTAGATTAAAAAATTTTAGATTATTCATTTTCAATCATGATGCTTATATCTGCTTCCGTGGGACAACTAGATATTTTTTCTATTGATGATTTTTTAACTATGGCATGTCTAAATCTTTAGTGCACTATTCAACTAAAAACATTAGATACCAAAACTCCTATAATTTCTAAAGTCATTAGCTTTACATCCCCCAATGTGGTATAATATAATTTTAAATCGATTCATAGGTATATTGGGGATTTCATTTTGATGCAACTAAAAGTACATTTATGGTAACGACTACTAATTCTATTTAGTGGATTGTTAATTTGCAAACTGATTAATTTAATTTTAATGGGAATTGGACTCATACATTTGGGTATAATGGTGTCAATCTTACAGGTAGTATTGCAATCCTGAATTACATGTTATTAAGTCCTGTCCTGACTATAGCTGAGGCATCGAGATATCATCTTCATGGATATATATCTATGAGATCAAGCCCTAACACTCTAAGCACAATACTATTTGATAAGAATGATATTTATAATCGAAGATATGGTTTATTCCCTTATTAAATGATGACTACTAACACGTAGTTTTTAACTTAAAGTAAGAGTCCTAAATGGTAGGCTTAAATAAGCAGTTGCGGAATTGGACTGATTCTTGATAGCATAAATGGTGATTGTCATGAACCATATTCGCTAGTTATCAATAATTAACTTCTCTCACTACCAATATCTGGAATAAAAATTGGGTATTCTGCAACTGTTTAATTTTGGATTAATGTATTTAGTGTGGATATTTCACCCTACTCCGTTTCTCTATGTAACATTTAAGACTTTATAGGTGTAACTCTTGATTCTGGAGTTCTATAGTTAAAATAATACAGCGATTTTATAGGGGAATTATACACACCTTTTGTTCCTAATCTATTTTATATTAATAAATGGATGAGAATAAACCTTGTATTATTTAAAAAAGAGTGGACTATTTACTAGAATGAAAACATAATGCCTCTCAAGTTAGAAGAAATTAAAGGAAATTTTGAGGATATAAGATTTTCTAATATTGACATAGATTTAAGAGCTGGATCACTTTTTAAAGCTAAATTCTCAGAATTTGCAATATTTGGCTATCCTAGATCATCAGGTGATATCTTAAATAACCTTTACTCGCAGATAAACAAAAATATGTATTATAATTCATTACTTACATATTATCCATTGGATGAAAGTTATGATAAATATGTCTATGACTATTCTAGACATAGTAGTAGATCTCTGTTAATTTCAAGTCCTATGATTTATTGGGATTATACACCTAGAGGCTCATAAGGGGTGAATTTGATTTAAACATCAAATGGAGATTATTAATTTAGAGAAAATTCTCTTTATTTTGAATACCAGACTACTTCACCTCTTACCTTTCCACTTACAAATGGTATGATAGGGTAGGATTATACGCTGAGCTTTTGCTATAACTTAAGAACGTTGCGGAATCTGCCTCAATATTAAGAGATTCCAATGATTTTGATGCAAAATGTTATGAAAATCAACATTAAACACATAGCTAATTCGCAAATCAGGTTTATTCTTTATCCGTTTCTCTAGATAAATTCAAATTTTTAGCCAAGCATTATTGAACCTTTAAATTAGAAATGGAAGTGTTTGGTATCAAGTTTTAGTTAAAGCTAAAAAACTGCTAGCATAAGTATACCCAGTAAATCGATAGCAATTTAAACTTATAATATTGTCCCTAGTTCTATATCTTTGGCTTAAAGACAAATTTAGATTCACCCTACTAACTGCTTTATAAAAGAATTAAAGTTATTCAATTTAGCTATAAATGAAGAAATAATGTATTAGCTTTCACGATAACTTGTTAATCCTTTATTATATTGGGGCAAATATCTGGCATTATACTATAGATTAGACGA